GGCCTAACTTGCTTGTCTTTGAGAGAAGTGCTTCTTGTCTGTTACAGTGACTTACATGAAGCTGTGGCATGAGACTTTCTGGAATTGGATTGCACAAAAGTCTTTCAGGGAGGGCACAAAGTGCGTCTAAGTTCAGCTTGGTACCTTAAGTTCAGTCATTTTCAGCATACTTGACACAAGTTGAGCATCAAGTTGAGGGAAGATGACCTGATGTTGCCTCATGTTGCCTGAACTTGACACAACTTAGTGTGGGCACTGAGGGGGCAAAGGGGGGACCCTTTGGATTGAGGACAGATGCCAAAAAGTGTGCTTAGGGGTGCATCTTCAGGGAACTTCAGCTCCAGAAAGAGGAAGATGCAGGAAGTTGAAGGAAGATGAACAGACACGGGCTCAGGTTGCCTGAAGTTGGCACAACATCTGATGAGCATAAAGGGGGCAAAGGGGGGACCCTTTGCTTTGAGAACAAGTGGCAGGCAGTGTGTCTGATGGTGCAACTTCAAAGAACTTGAGCTCATCTTCATCTTCAATGTGGGAAGATGCAGCAAGTTGAAGGAACATGAGCAAACATATGCTCATGTCATCTGAAGTTGAGGGAAGTTCTGCAGGGGTTTGAGGCAGGCAAAGGGGGGACCCTTTGGATTGGAGACAAATAATGTGGAGCTTGCATGAGGGTGCATTTTCAGGGAAGATCAGCTCATCTTCAGCTCTGGCTGGGAGCAGTGCAGGAAGATGAGCAAACATTGGCTCAAGTAGTCTGAAGTTGAGGGAACTTCTGGTGCTCAATGGGAAGGCAAAGAGGGGATTCTTTGAAATGGTGGTTGGCTGGCAGGACTTGTGTCAGGTAGTGCATGTTCCAGGAAGTTGAGCTCATCTTCAGGCTGATGCTTGATGGTGCGGGAAGTTGAGTGAAGATGAGCTGTTGCACCACTATCACAGATGAAGTTCAGGGAACATGAGTGGTTGCTCTGATGCTTTGCAGGAAGTTCATGGAAGATGAGGTGTTGCACTGTTATCTCACATGAAGTTGAAAGATCATGAGCTGTTGCAGTGATGTTTCATCTGAAGTTGAGGGAAGATGAGCTATTGCAGTGAGATCTCTCTTGAATCTGAGGTGAGACTAGCTGTTGCAACATTATCTCTCTTGAAGTTGAGGGAAGATGAGTTGGTGCACTGTTATCTCACATGAAATTGGAGGAAGATGATCTGTTGCAGTGATATTCCACCTGAAGTTGAGGTAAGATGAGCTGTTGCAGTGATATTCCACCTGAAGTTGAGGTAAGATGAGCTGTTGCACTGCTATCTCACATGGGATGTGCTGAAGATGAACTCAAGTTGACTCAAGTTCCCTACACTACAGCTGATACCACTGATGTCTCACCTGAAGATGAAGGAACCTCAGGGAAGTTCAAATGATGAAGACATATTGCACTTGAGACTGCATGAATGCAGGGGAAGCAGATGAGACAGAGTAGAGTGGTCTGCACATGCAGCCTGTACACAAGACTTGGCATGAGATGACTACATATGCTGGAAGATGAGAGAGGTTGACTGATGTTCCTAGAACTTGCCCTATACATATGCCCCGAGACTTTTACGGCGCAAAAGCGGATGCGCAGACAAAAGCCCTGCCAAAAGACGCGCCGGACCGCCTCGGACATGGACGGAGCTACTTTTAGGGTTAGGGTTACAAGGGTGTCCCGTTTTAGGGTCGGAAATGTTTGATAGCCAGTTTGTAGAGCACATTGAGGAGTGTCTTGTGGCAGAAAAGTTTTGGATTTGCGATAGCCGTTTTTGCGTGAGGAGGCGCAAAGCGCAAGTGCGGGGTGATTTTGGCTGGTGGCGCCTCTGAAATTTGGGAATCTATGTGACCCTAGCAGGGTTTTGGAGAGGGTCAGAAGAGTCATTTAGCATGTGTGAAGGGTTTGGGCTGGGGTTGCAAACTCATGGAGATATGGGCTTTCAAAGTGTCAAGTGCGGTGAGAAGCACTGAATGAAGTGCACCAAGGGGCACTGAGGGGAGATGCAAGGGTGTCAGAAGAGCGCTGAGCTGTGGCTGGTGCGCACAGGCAGTGAGGTGCGCTGTAGTGATGTGGAGGTGGCTGTGTTGGGTGCCCACAGGCACATTTTAGTTTGGTTTTAGGGTTAGGGTTAGGGTTACATAGGGTTTTAGGGTTAGGGTTACAAGGGGGTCCCACGAAAGTCTGTTTTGAGTTAGAGCAACTTTCTTGTAGAGACCAAAGAGCACTTCAAAATAATGCCAGTGACACCCATCAGAGTTGCTTGGTTGTTGAGAAAATCACCAAAAACCATGCAAAACCCCAACATTTGGCTGGTGAGGTCAATGAGCATGAGGAAAAATTTTTTAGGGTTAGGGTTAGGGTTAGGGTTAGGGTTAGGGTTAGTTTGGGTTTAGGGTTAGGGTTAGGGTTAGGGTTAGGGTTAGGGTTAGGGTTAGGGTTAGGGTTAGGGTTAG